CTTGGACGCCCCATCGCAGAAATGTACGTAGCCAATCCCAATAAGAACAAATTGCAAAGGCTTAGATCATGTGCTCGTACGAAATTTTGCTAAGAAGTTTTTTTGATGCACTGGGCATAGGAGTAATTTACATTCTCGAAGTTAAATACAAGTTTTTCGAGCCGCATTATACGCTACACCCTACCACAGCTCTGAAATTTGATGTAATATGAAAGAAGGGTTTGTGTAAACAAGGGAGTGCGTTTTGTTATTCTCAACTGATCAAATTTTATGAAAGGCATCTTGAGACGCTAGTTCCTAATTTCTTCGAAACCGAGACATGAAGAATTTGTAAAAATTTTTGATAGTAAAATAGTAAAGAAACGATTATTGTCGGAAAGCTTTAGCTATGAATTAAGTGAACAAGCGCAGAGCTCTACCACTTTTGCACGGAAATGACTTTTTGAGTGTTTTTTTGAGTAACGAAGCTCCTAAATAGATAATTGTTGATCGTTCGCACCACTAAAAGATTTCATTAATATGAGATTCCATTTCTCTGGAGGGGCCTTTCCCAAATAGGAAAAGTAGATTTGACATTAACTTTCCAGAGGTGATATAGTACACGTCGCTGAGAATGGCCAATTTCACTTTAAATTGTTTACATGTCAAAAGGCAAGCTACATCACCTCTCAGCGAAGTAAAGAATTGTGAGTAGATTCTATAGAGCAAAATGACATGAGTTTTCTTAGAACTCTAAATTAGAAAGACTAAGTGAAAAGTTTTGCATTTACCGCTATTGGAACTCTATCGCAACAGACTACTACCACGCGTAATGATCATACCTACTTACAATATTACAAAGATAGACCTCATCAGGCAAAATTTTACTCAGACCAATTTTTTCCACGGTGGTTGCGCAGACCTACGTGAAAAACTTCAACGCAGAATAGGTTAAACAGATTACAAGCATTTCATACTTTTTCCCCATTTATATCATACATTGAATTGAAAAAATAAACTGACTTCAATTCAATTTACCAAATAACGAAAATCAACTTTTAGGATTTTATAATTTTCAACACTGAAGATTTCAGTTGTCTAAATTTTAAAATTATTCAAAATCGAGCTTTTTAAAATTTGATTCAAATACATTTGTAAATCTCCAACAATTGATCCCGAATTATCAAAAAGTGAGAATTTCGCAATAGCCGAACTTTCGAATGATTCAAAATTTTTCCAAACTTTTATACGAATTGTCGGACATTTATTCTTACCACACAATTTATAGTACGCTTATCAAGTAACTTCTACGAATTAAATAATGACACCTGATAATCCATCTCCATTAATGCACCTTGTTGACGCAGCTGCCTAGAGCTGCCCTAGAGCAGTTGAAATTATGTGCTTGATTCTTATCGGTAAAGATCCAGTAAATTCCGCGCAACAGGTATGCTCCGCCCACAAATAGTGCAAGCCACGCCCACTTCATGACAGAGCGGCAGAAGCCATACGGGTATCCAGCTGCAGGACACTCATATCCGCTCTGCCAAATTCGGCCAGCGTTAACCTATTTTAACCGGAAGGTGAAACGGGAAAATCCGGATAAAATTTTTTATGGACAATTTTATGCTAAAAAGGGTTTATTTTTATGCAGAACGATGTACAATTAACAATGATTCGCTTTGATTATGCTTGCGTAAGGTTTCTTGTAATTATTATAGTTTACATTGGCTTATCTGTTTTGAAAGGTCGCAATTAG